GGATAATAAATAAATAAAATTGATGATCAGCTACACAACAGATTCTTAGCACGCACCTGAGGAATGGAATCACAGGACAGCCAGGGTGCGGGGACGTCAGGGCTTTCCTCTGTGTGTCATTTCTTGCCCACACGCCCAGCTCGGAGGGCAGTTGGACACCCAAGTCCTGGCAGGAGTGGACCCCGCCATTCCCAGGCCAAGAACCACCCCTGCCAGCCTGGGTGTGAAAGGTTGGAACCTTGCCTTGCTTTGTCTGTCCTTGAACCTGCTTCTGTATGGATCTTAAAGGGAAGAATGATCACTGTCAGCTCTTAACTCCTTTGCAATGAAGTTTACAGCTGCTGAGGACTCAAAAGAAACAACAGGGGAAGACAGGCTGGCTTCACTTTGGTAGCATCTGAGGAAACAGGTATGCAGTGCTCTGCTCAAATTGGATTCCCCAGTAGGTGACTGGCGAAGAATATTTCCTGCAGATGCTGAGAACAGAGAGCATCACCTCTCTCGCATGAATACAGATTAGAGGACTTTCCTCCCGGAGCTGCCACCTAACCTGGCAGCAGGATTCACTGCATAACGCTGACAGAAATACAGGTGTTTTTTTGACTTTAGCTGCTTTGCATTTTTCAAATAACATATTTCAGAAGGTGGCTGAGAATATTGTGGAGAGCCTGACAGCCAGCCTCAGAAATCAGTAGGAGAGCGTACAATGACAAAGTCGGACACTTTGTGAAGATGTATAAAAACTCCATTTGTGATTAAATAGCCAGACTCCTTCAGCAACCAGCTACAGTCACAAATGGGTCTGGGACCGTCCTGAAGCTTTGGTTCTTTCTACCAAATATCAAAGGTACCATCCAACGTTCACAGTTTGGTTGGGGGGGAATATAAATAACTAAACTGATTAAAACAGAAACCTCATAGGAAACCAATTTTGTATTCAGCTTTTAGCGGAGAAAATACCTAAAATAACCATATTGATAACTGTATTGGCAAACACTGACCTTAGATGGAGACTAAATGATGGCTCAAACCAGTTTAAACAGTACAGCAATTAAGAAAAAGTCTAGGCTGGGCTGAGCCCATGAAATTAATACCAAATCCATCTGGAGGAGTGTCTTGCACCATTGTTTCTGCTCTCTAACAAGATCTTGTGAATAAACAGGCGGCATTCTTTTGCAGGGGCTGATCCAGTTACCACCTGTCTTGTGGGACTGAATGGAAGGTTTGATTTTGATCCAAATTCTGGAAAATGCCGGCACCTGGTCAGTATTGGCACTGCCGGGAAGCGTGCCATCCAGCAACACTTCGCCACGAGGGAGTTTACTTGGCTTTAGCTGCCTTCCCATTGATTAGCAAAGCCCTTCGTTCTGCTAAAAAAGGAAGATATCTCACCTAGGGGGAAAAAAAAAACCCAAACCCTGAACATAATTTTGTAGTTAGTATCAATACTGATTATCCAGTGGGGTTCCTTCTAAACGAATGGGTGATGAACTTCTGCAGCTTTTATGTCTGATGAAAACTGACTATTAGGAATTCAGACAAGCTGTAGCTATTTAAAGGATGAGGTATCATAATTATGGTATTATACTTAATTAAAAAGTAATGTTTAATGCAAACAGCATAATTTCTATGGTTGTTTTTCGGTAATAGAGAAAGGATCCAATACCCCTTTTCTTATTTATACGGTACGCAGGGGATTTTCTATCAATATCTGCCTTAACACGCAGGCGGAAGGACAGGAAAGACTGCACACGTAGAAAGCTGCTGGTTCTAAATCTAAGGCAATTACATGCAGTTCTAGGTCCTTTTGAAAACATAATTCATCACAATTGATGACAAAGTGCTAGAACCATGACAATTTGTTCAACTGATCATTTTAAGAGAAAAAAAAAATTAAGGTACTTAAGTTGAACAAAGGACCTACTAATTCTTGGGTGTGAATCAGTTCCAGACCAACAAACAAGGAATTCCCCAGTGAAGCATCCTGGACTGCTCACTCCCCACTTTCTCTCATGTAAAACCCAAAAATCTGCCTACACACCTTACAGCAAGGCCACCTAGGTTACAGCGGTCAGTGTACATGACTACTTTAAAAATTCACCTCATCGTATTACTGATTAGGACAGGGCTATATGAAAGAGGGGGAAAGGGAGGGAGTGTGTGTGTGTGTGTGTGTGTAGAGGGAAGCAACACGCTTCCATATGAACCATTTATTGAATAAATACATGCATCATAATGTAGAATTACATGAGCAAAAAAGGCAATCTGTACAAAAGTGATTACCCTTTGTTCTCATTTCAACTCTCATCATTTGCTGCAGCTCTGATAAAGGATTCAAGACAGAAAATGAAAATTCTTTTAATCCAAATCCAAATGATATGCATGCTGATTTGAGTTCGGGTTATACCACTGCTATAATTAAGAAAGCTGGTTTTCTCGTCAGTGAAGCAGAGTAATTCTAAAAACAGTTTCGATAGTAGAGAACATGTGTTGGTACATACAGGTAACAAAGCTCAGTTTTAGCCATTTCTTAAACATCTTCATACGTTCATATTTTAAGGCACAGGATAAACAAGAACTACATGAAAAGCTATCAGTTGTATTGAATACATCGACTTGATAATGAGGTGCAATTTTTGGCCAGAGGAATGATGATGTTAATCCTTCCTACTTCCATATAAACGGCACAATCAGAGTTTGGTAACTATGATACAGAGGTTTGCTTCCACTATCAAAAGAATCAGTCTCATCTAGGCAGTCATATTCTGATCCAAATTCAGTCAGGAGAACATTTCTAAAAGAGTCTGGCGGCCAGGACTGAACAAAGGGAATGGGAATTACTGTTACTGTATTACAATGACAATTCAATCTTACTTGTAGATTCCTAAATGGGAACTGGGCTCTCTTAAGAACCTATCCCTAATTTTAGGCTGTCAGCTATTTTTGAAACCTGTCCTACATATTTTATTCAGTTATTCACTTTGTGCTATCATCTCACATTTACCCAAACACAGCATTCTTCCCCCCCGAGACTTCAGAATACAAAATGTGCCCTTTTTTTGTTTAAGTGCAGAGACTTCCAACATCTGTCCCCGGACTTAAGACTTGAAACACCAAATCAGTCTAACAGCCCATTTGTTGGCTATGGATCAAACTCTGGGGACTCACTGGCCAACATGTACAGCAAAAGTCCTTCTAACTTGGGCTGAGCAAAGGCAAAAGACAATTATGCTGAACTGCTGCACTCAGACCTCCTCTATTTAGATTGGCTTTTGCTTTCTGCATTTTCATTGCATGAACAATAATTCTCTGTCTTTTCATTCTTGTTTAATGGAGAACTAGCAAAGAAAATACATTTTTCATAATATAATACATTTTATATGAACAGCTGAGTGTGTATATATATATAGATAGATAGATATATACTCATACATTCCAATATAGAGTGAAGCCTTCAAATGGTTTTCTTACAAAGAACCTCTCTCTATTGCCCAGCCCACTGGAAAGCAACAGCAGCAAAATTTACAATGTAAGTCTGTTTGCTAAAATTGTCTTGTATAAAATGTGGCAATAAGAAGGCCGTCACTGTATAGAAGTGTACGTGTGCGTGTCACACACATCCGTGACAAATGTTCATGTTAAACTGAATTTAGACAAACTGAAATGAGTCAAATCTTAAACTTGAAAAAGACAAAAAGCTACATCTATGGTAGGCACTTTGGTACATCTAGTAATGTAGGCATATTCTACATCTAGAATTAAGGTTCTGTCAGTAATCTTACAATAAAGCTAATTTCAGGAGTTTATTGGTTTTTAAATACTCTTTAAAATTCTTTCTTGGCTGAGAGATCATTCTAGAATCCTAGCTAAATAATATACTTTGTCTGTCTAATTGCATACTTATCCAAGAATGAGGGCGTTGGCTCTCAAAGAGCTGAACTGTTCTCTTGGATTCTTAATGCACATTTTTATAACAGTCTGAGAAAACTTATCAGAAAAAGAAAAATCAGTTCTGAATACAAAAAAGATTCTCCATATTTCATAAAATTAGAGTTATGAGCTCAGCTGTTTAGGCTGATACTCTTCCTTCAAGTCTCAACTGTCTACTTTTCTGGGTTTGTGCTAACTGTATCACTGCCATAGTCTTGCAGCAGACGATGGCAATGCTTCAGCAGAATGACATTATTTCTCAGGAAACCTGTGTGGACCACTGACGTGCATCTTCATGCACCAAACACACCAACTAGCAATGAAGCAACTGTAAAGACAGCCAGTTTCAACTTAGTTTCATACTTTCTTACCTATTGGTTTTCCATTTTAGTATTACAGAAGGTATAGCATAATATACTATTTAGCACAGTATTGTATGATAAAAACAACGTATGTCTTGTATGTATGCCTACTCTATGAACTCACTTTGCAAGCTGATTTGTATACCTTTGAAATCAGTGAAACAAGGCAGTAAGGACAGTCCTAAGCGGTTAGAGATTTTTTGTTTATAATACAGAAAAAATCCATGTCCTCCTACCTTCAAAAGGTCACATGTCTAGTACTACAGAGTACAGAAATAAATAACAAAATCCAAGTGAACCTGTATAATAAACCGGTACTGTTTGTCATGTTTGCTCCATTAAATGAAAACTCAGATTTAGAAACTGTGATTCATGGACCTCATCCTCTATTTATACAGTATTTATAGAATTTTCATTTTTGTTTATAATATTCTATAGCATGATTTCCCAATGATACATTCATATATAAATATTAAAATGTTAATGTTTTGTACATTTTAAACTAGCCACACTGGGCCAGAAACACAATAAAGTAAAAATGTTTTTCTGCAGTTTGTTTTTGAAGAATATCACAAAATGATTAAGACCATTGTGCTGCAAAGACAAAAGAGATTCATCTGAAGAAATTAACATGCATTTAAAAGAAAATATCTATATCCTTTATCTATTTTTCTTCTGAATTCAGACCAGCATGAAAGAATTATAAAAAAATAGTATATATTTACATGGTACGGTATACCTTGGTGAGATAGAAAACAAGGCAGGAAAAACAGCAGAACATAATCTTTTCACTTTCTAATAGGTACAGCCATCATAAAGATCAATTTAAACACAAAAGGTTACTTTACTGTACTATTGCACATTACAGTAACATAAAACTGTTTAGCAAATTAAAATACAAAGTCTAACAATGAGAAAGGCTATGTCTACATAAAATGACCAAGTGTTATAAAATTATTGGGGATGTGTCTAAGAACTAAATCAGTAAAGCTATAAAAATAATATTGGTACATCTGTGAGAACAATGCTTTAAAAATATATAAAGGTTGGCAAAAGCATGTGTGGGGAATTCCCAGTATCCATGGGCCTAACTTGCACCATGTGGCCTTGTACCATCTTCTGTTAAATCATACCTGAAAATGAAAAAAAACAAAGGATTTTTTTTTTTTTTTACATTTAGCATGTATTAGTAAAATATTATCAACACACCAGTTATTGGTATGGAGTATTATTATTAATAAAGGAAATATCACACTTACCACTGGGTCCAGCCTTTAGCAAGTTCTTCAGATGCCAGAGGTATTAATAACTGTGGAAAGTTAAATTAGCAATCAATGCATTATATGTGCCTTTAATTCTATGTCTTTTAAAGATGAAATCTGACAATTCTGTAAACTATAGTATAAGTAATGCCATTAATAAAAATATGTCATCATAGCTATCTGCTATCTGCCCAACTTGTAGTAAAGTTTCAAGTTGCTGTTTTTGATCTAAAAATCTGTACCCTTTAGTGATACGGTCCCAGAGCACCTCACAGGCCTAAATTCTGAACATGGCATATTTTGGCAATGGCAAGCAGCTGATGTGTTTACGCTAACAGCTTTCCTGGTAAACAGGAAAATTAAAACCACCGTTCACCGTGAACTGACCACGATTCCGTTATCTCTCATCCTCTTTACAGAGCTCGAATGTGGAAATTTGCAAGGGTGTAGGAATTTAGTATTCCTTTTTGCATGCTCCAAATCACATGTATAGGAAACAGAGTAATTTAATGAGTGCTTATAGAACAGTGAAGTTGTAAACACAATAGCTGGTTTTGGCATTGGGAACGTCTCCAGTAGCAGATCCTTCTCATGGATTTTACAATCCAGAATTTTAATTACTAAACATACTTTTTTTCTGTGTGCTTCTCTAAGCGCTCTTGCTTGTCTTTCCACAGTTTTGTCTGAGTATTTTTTGAGGCATCACCTGTTTTCTACTGGTTATTTTCTTTCTCTGACTGTATGGTTAATAAGTCTGACATGCAGGTTTCATTTGGTACTGTGAGCCTCAGAACTTACCATTCTCTAGAAGAAATTACTGCCTCATCTTTTGATGACTGTCTCTGCAGTTTGTTCCTTCCCTCACTGAAGCTTGATATCTAAGCCATCTATAATTTTTAAAAGCTTCGTACCTGAATCAGGTGCTTCAGTCAACTCTAACAAGCTCATACCACAAAAGGATTTTAGTCTTCTATAATACCTTGCTGCATTAACAGAATTTGCTTGTTGTCAACTTACTTTGCCAAGCAGCCCTTTATCTTTGGACAAGAAACCACCACTGTTCTTCACTGCTACATCTAGTGTTCTTCTCTGTACTTCAGGCAGGGAAACACTGAAATCAAATCTGACAGACAAAGTGATGCTTTAGAGAGAATTTTGTACTTGAAGTGCAAGTTCAGTTCCTACAGCTAAACAACAATTTGTCTCATAACCAAACCATGCCCCTCCCCAAACAAAAAATGAGGTCTGAGATAAATGAAGAAAAAAATCCCAGTGTTTTGCCTAGAAGTTTTCTTCAATACTGTGATCAATAACAATTTCAAATGTCTGAGACTTCTGTTACCTTTGGTCTCTAGAAGCCATTGGTAAAACAAAAACCAACTAACCAATGAAAAACCAAACCAAACCAAAGAAGGAAAAGGTCAACCACTGACTCTGCAGGGAAGAGAATGAGGAATCCTACTGTCTTGACAGCTCAGCATCAGTGTTCTCTAAAAGGGAAAGACTGGTCAGTCTTAACTGATCCTCAGTGCTCTAGAACCAGAGCCCCTTTTCTTTCCTGGTACACCAAGGAAACCTATCAACTTTTAAGGAAGAAAGCATTTTGTTTGCTAGATCTGAAACTTAAAGAAAGTGAGGGCAAGATCATACCACAATCTACATCTGTTTGTCACTATAGTTCTTAAACAGCTTTATTGCTCTGCAATACATTTTACTTGGAAAGGCACATTAAAACAAATCTATTATCTGGAATAAACAAGAGAGAACTGCAGTACCAGGAGAACCTACCACAGCCTCTAACTAATGATTTACAGGTTTCCCTTGGACAGAGTGGACTGAAGTGGCGTTCTCCCCAGATTAAGTTTCTGTCTGTAGAGAAAGGTCTTCTTTATTGGTAAGTGATGGGTAGAGGGGAAAGGGGTACACGTGTGAGGGAAACTAACATCAAAAAACTGAGCACAAAGATAAGGATTTTTAAGCAATATAATGTTGCACAAGCTTGCACAACTTACACCCTGTGGGCCTATGAGGAAATTTCCTGACTCCCTGGATGCTGAGAGTGCCACCAAGCAGACTGCCTGAGCAGTTTGATTATGCATAGACACTGGCTGACCGGTCCTACTGAGGAGGCAGCATCCACCCGCCAGGCAATCGGCCAGCCAGGATCGACAGGCTTCCTGGCAGGAAGGGATACCAACAGCACTGCCCAGCTAAAAGGCACTCGTGTTCGGACCACCTGCCACAAGAGTGCACACGGACGCGTGGCTACCAGCACAAAGGGGCTGTAACTGGTGTAGGAGAAGGCAGAAAATGAGAGAGAAGTGGCTGGTAACAGAGTAAGACGGGCTACAGTGATAAGAGGGGATAGAAGGATGGGAAAAGCTATTACAGCAGAAGAGAAAGGTATGATCAAGGCTGGTGGTGACAGGTAGGAGTTTCAACAGCTCATCCATTCAGGTAAGCTGAGAAATGTTAATTTGACAGCTTTTTAATTACATGGTATAAAAATACTATACATAGTTTAGAACATACATTTGATCAAACACTGGGTTTAATGTCTTCTTTGATACATGAGTTTTTCTTCTTCCTGATCGTCTCTTATCAGGCAATAAATACATTCGCACATATGGATCAGATCCTTCTTCTGAAAACGCTATTAGATTTCTGTGACCAGTGAAAAACAAGGAAAAACACTTAGAAAATAAATGAGACATCGCTGAATAGAAGTGTCTACTTAAATTAGCACACGAATCATTTGTGGGATATCCTGCACAAAGTATGATGTGCAGGATCCAGTACATAGATCACAGCAGTGGAAAATGAAAACTAATAAAAAAATGCCAAGCAGTGACTTGTACAAGCTCAGATAAATGGTAAGCAGAGGTGGGAATACAATGTTTCTTAAATTCCAATTAAAAGTTTAGATATGGCTTTCCAAAAATCATGTGGTTTTGTCACTCCATGAAAAATTCAGTCTCTTAGAGATAGCTTTCAGACACTGCTGATAAAAATCTACATGCCATTTTCATTTAAAATCTGACAGAGGCATAATAGACAAATAGAAAATCACAGGAAAATCTTCAACAGTTTTTACTGAGTATAGCTCTGTATGTTTTTGTATTTACACATAATTACAATCAGTATGTTATTTTAAAAATAACAAAGATCATCCAGACTACCAAGTTAATAAGCTAAGTCAAGATACGGCAAAGTTTACAAAGAAATATGCACAGAAATGAAATTTGGTATTTTATGCTCACCTGCAGGAAT